AAATAAAATTTTTTTATCAGGTTTATCAGCTTGCTGGCATATTAGTATCTAATATTTATGTAATCAATATTATAGTAATTACTAGTTATTTTTTATTTGTAAATACAAAATTTTTTTCTTTACATTTTATAATATTTTTTTAATTATTATAGCAAACTTAACAAATATTTGTTAGAAAATAATATAAAAGTTATTGCTTGGTTTATCTTACAATCAAATTTCTTAATATTTATGTGTTAGTAAATCTTCTATTATACACATTTTGCAATATTTTTGAATATATAATTTTGTAGAAAATTCTCCTTTTGTTTTAGGAAAGCCACAAATACTAACTAATAATGATATAATATATCTTGACACCTTTTTAAAAGAAAAGATTGATTAGTATGTTTGAAAATTTTAATAACAAATAGAATTATAGCTAGGCTGTGAAATTAGTTTTTATACTATTTGAAAAGCAGTGTACTGCCTTAATTACTTACATAAATAAGTATAATATTTATATTTAGAATTTAAGTTTATTGTGAATATTAATTTATATAAAGTTTATTGTTTTTTTAGTTATATAAGGCTGTAAAAGAGAGAACTAAAATCAATAGAGTAGATTTTATTTCAAATATTTTATAATACATAATATTGCAATTTGTTTTACTGATGAATCAACATATGATAGAAGAACTCTATCACATTGATATAAATAGAGTATATCTGAAATACTTATATAAAAATCTACTATTTTATTAAAAGAAAGGATTTACAATTAAAGAAGCAATATATATTAATAGAATCTTTGCTTATGGGATTAAAGAAGGCTTATAAATAGTTATGACTATAAATATTTTATTAAGCAATATTTAATAATATTATTTTAATATACTTATTATATAAATTTCTTTATTAATCATTATTTAAATAAGCTTCTAAAAATAAATGTATTTTCAGAATCTTATAGTATTCTTATATTAGATAATGTATTTATATAAAGGTTATCATTTGAAAGATTTTTATAAAGAAAAGAGGGTTTGTCTTGAATTTTTACAACTATATTCACTATATTATAATCCAGTATATATATTAATTAATTTTTAATTAATTTTTAATATTATTTTGTTATTTTAAATATTTTTATTATAATATAGATTAACAAATTTTTTTTATATTAAAAATTTTCTGTGACAAAATATAATTGGATTGAAACAATAAAAAATTCTGAATAAGTCTTAGATTTTACTTGTAGAATAAAAAATTTAGTAAAAGTAAGTGTAAATATTTAAGTTAATTTTTTTATCATTAAGAATTAAAATAAAATTAATATATAAATATGTTTTTATTTATATTTTATATAGAAGATTGTATAATAATTTAAATAAATAAAGGAAAATTTTTTATACATTAATTAAAAGTTACATAAGTTATATTTTATTTTTTATATTTAAAAGTATGATTAATAATAAAACATATTTATTTATGTATTTATAAAAGCATATATAGTTCTTGGTAAAAATAATTGCAGAAACAAATTTTTACGATATATATAATCATTATTTTTACAATAGTTTTTTTTTATTTATTTATAAGTTAAATACTAAAGCAATTTTTGTATTATTTAATTAATATTTGATATATTTTTCTTTTGTATTAATATATGCTTTAATCCAGTTTGACATACTTTTAATATATTGAAGTAACACAATATTATTAAGATCATCTCATTTCTGTCAGATTGTATTAAGGAATATATTGCAAGTGATATTCTTTTTGCCACTAAATATTTGACCTTTTTCTCTACTTTTACCTTTAATACAGCCCATACATTTTTGATAGGATTCAAGTCTGAACTGTAAAAAAACCAAGAAAACTCATCCTGAAAGATATTTTTCTAAGTTATGCTGTTACATCCATTTTGTAACTCAAATAAAATTCACAAATATTAATAATATTAAGACTAAATTTAGGAAATCACAATAAAGATTTGTAGTAAATGTTAAAGATTATTCTCAATTACATATGAGTAACTTTTGAATATTTCAGAGATTACATTGCAGTGACTACACATTAAGTCAATACAAAAAATCAATACAATACCACGCAAAGTTAATAAATAATAATAATATATATACAGGTTAAAGGTTGCAAAGATAAGTTTTAACTTGGTTAATCATATGCATTATTAATAATATAATAAATTGTAAGTTCTTTACCTTGTAAGGTATCGAGATTTAATGAAAATACAGTGATATTTATACATGTTTAATAATTATAAAATACTTAAAACTAAATATAACTATGAAAATAAAATGACATTATCGAAGAAATAAAGTAATAAAATTGATCAGTAAAAGTAAAATTGCCTATTGCACTGAAAATAAAATTAAGATCTAGATCTACAATATTTCACATTGATTATCTTAAGACATAAAGTTGACATCAGGATTGATGAGATGATAAATAAGGACATTTAATTGACATTGGATTTGTAAGCAGATTTTAGCCAAAATTTTACACTGTTACAATGCTAAATATCTTGTGAGATATGTTTTGGGTTATTATCTTATTAGAAGATCCAGCCGTCACTATACATCATATTCACATTATCATATAAATAATTATCCAAGATTTTTCAATACAAATGATAATCCAAATTTTTAGTAAACAAATTAATGCTAATATTCTTTTAACACTAATTGCTATCCAAATATAAATCTTAAATAGATGCTTTACTATGAAAGTAATTAGTTATGCACTATGTTACCATATATCACATAGTATTTCTAAATATCTGAAGTATTGTTTCATCAGAAAAAACAACTTTCTTCCTGTTATAACATGAATGATCATATGACTATGATAACTGAAAATCCTTCATTTTTTGAGTCAAGAGAGGAATCTTTCTTGAAAGAATAGAAATATAACAAGATTTTTGAGTTCATGACATATTCTACGGTCACTAATATTAAGTTTAGAATTAAGATTGCTAGACAAAATCCAGAGTTAAATAAATGTCTAAATAGTAAAAGTAAAACTTGGTTAAATTATATTATAATCTTATTAAAAAATCTACGAAATTCAGAAAAAATAAAACTATATCAAAGCTTATAAAAATGATGAAATTATATCAAACACAGTAAATATTTAGCAAAATTAAATGTTTAGACGTTTAGTCAAATTAAAATGAGTTTAGATAAGCAACTTTAGTTAAAATCTTTTTCTTCCAATATAGCCTTAATTTTATTTGCTGTAGTAAAATAATTATGTTGCAGAATTTTTCCAATATAATAGTATTAATTTAAGGCTAATTTTTTTGAACGGCCATAATAGTGATCAATTAAAATATTGCCAGTTTTATTTAACAACTGACATATCATTGACATATGCATAAAGAAATATACAATCTTTTAGAAATTTTTTTTACATTATGCACTTTTTCATCCTAAAGTGACTTAACGGAGTTTCATTATATTTTTAAAGAGCTTACCATAGTTTAGAAATAAAATTAAAATAAAAACAAATAACAAATTTTATTTTTTTAATTTACCTTTAAATTAGGATTCCAATGTCTGATTTAAGTATATAATAAATACTTAAATCCACAAAGTGGTAAATCCACAGCCTAAAAATAGATGCAAATTTTACAACTATACTGTTCACTGGAAACTGTACATATTATTAATTATTTATAATATCAATTTCTATTTTAATTATGAAAATTAATTAAATTAAATTATTCTTTATGAATTTAATTTTAAGAATGATTGATAAAATTAATTAAAATTTTTTTTTAAAAAAATATAACTTAGTTATTATCATCAAATAATTCATTTAATTAATATTAATCTTTTAATATTAATTCATATTGTGCATATGTTTCAAAAAATCCTCTTCTAATACTTGATCAAGTAAAAATTTCTTTCTATTTAATTCAAGCAATGACTTAGCAATAAATTATTTTCCTTTTGGAAGATTAAAAGGAAATATAAATAGTATAAAATTTTGAAAGGTTATTTCTTTAGTAACCACATATTTGATATATATAGAAATTTTTTTTTAAATATAGTATGATTAAATCAAGACATAATTATTTTTGTATTTAAAGTTAAAATTAAGAAAACTTTAATATAATAATTAATTAATATTTAGTTTAATTTTTTAAATATAAAAATTAAATAAAAATAATTTATATGATTTTGATAGAAATGTTATTAAAAATATTTTTATCTTATTTGCTATTAGGGAAATGATATTTGATTCTATCAAATTTAAGAATTGATGGTAAAGCCATTGCATTTACTCCTTTTATATTTATAATCTATATAATATATTATATAAATCATTATTTTAAGTACAATTTTTATGTGATAAATTAAATATTATAATTATCATTGTACATGCATAGAGCATAATCATTTAATTATCCAATTTTAAATAACAACTATCATTATCTTTTAAATACTATTGAGTATGATATTCATATTGTATAATATTATCATAAATAGCTTATTTTATTATATTTAATGCTGAAGATTCATTTTTCTTTAAATTTATTATTTTATTTATTAATATAATTATAGTATAAATAAAAAATAATAATTTATAAAATAAATAATATATCTGAATTTTTCTTTGAATAAGTTCTCCTATACTTCTTTAACATCAATTACAGAATTTTTATATATTATTTCTTTTTTTTGATTGTTCTAACAGAATAAACACATAATTGCATATTTTTTTTTTATATTCTACCATAATTGCAGCAAGTTAAAATGATCTGCTTTTATTATAGTTGATATTTGGTAACAAATCAAAATGATCTTAATTTTTCCTATTCTGTTTGATAGTATTCCTTCTTCAATTTGATCAAAATTGGTAAGAATATCAAGATACAAAGGGATAAATAGTGCATCATCAAGTTTTTTGTTCAGTTATTTAAATCGGTCAAAACAAATTAAGAAAATATAATCTATTACAATAATTCAAGAATATTACTATTTAAAAAATATATATTAGAATATAAATAAATTATTATATTTACTTGGTGCAATTTCTTTAGTTTTTTTAGATGATAGAACTTCTTTAGCAATTGGTTGAATTATTTCAATAGAAGATTCTTCAGGTTCAATTTCAAATGTAGAATTCATAGTTAAATCTATAGTTTCTGCTTCATTTGTATTGAAATTTTAAAATAAGTTATGTTATATATAATACTATAAATATTTTTAGATATTTTAGATATAATACCTTTATTAGACATAAATTTATATTTATTCAAATATACTTTGCATCTGGTATAATGATGAAACTTTAATTATTGAAGAAATTTTTAGCTTGAAACCAATTAACAAAATTTATGTCTAATTTGATTTTTTATTTGTTGCACCTGCTTGTGATAAGGTAGATGATGAAAACTTCATATTCTCATTCAATTATTTTTTTCCAAATATCTTCTTTAGCTATACATAAACAATTATCATCATAGGTTTTTTACAAGTTATGCAAATAAGACAAACAGTGCAGGCATTTAGACATCATCCTGTCATTTTATACAGTAGTTTTTGATTGTGTAACTTTGTCTATATCTTATGTACTCATTTTTTTTTATCGATATAGATTTTCGTCACTCTCGGAAATTAACTGCGTCTAAATCCAGAGCGCCGCAGCCTTGACGATCAATTTGCTGTCATTTCTGACATATCTGTTGGAATTGACTCTTCGGACTTTTCTACAAGATAAGACTCACTCCTCGAGATAATGGAATGGAATGTATATGTCAAAATGTCCGTTTTTGATAAAACGAGGCCATTAATAAACACCTTCACCAAGCCGCAAGCATTCTATATCCAAGCCATAGGAAGGAAATTTATTATAAAAAGAAGGGTTTTTTTGTCTTAGATTTAGAATTAGATAGATTTCTTTTCTCTTTAGGCCTATTACAGAGCGCCGACAGATGCAGTAGCAGTTGCATTTATTGTATTATTTCACACTTTTATTTCTTTAATAAAACCCTTATTTATTTATTTATTCAATTAATTCAAATACATATTTCGCTATAATACATTGTGTTCTATAAAATCTATAATTTATGAATTTAAGAGGTGACATTGACAGGCCGACAACTTGACATGACTAGAATTTATTGATGTCCCATGACTTTTGAAAGTAGCTATAAAGTCATTTTGCCGAGTTTGAGATTTAAAATCATTATTATAATCGACTTTTGAACTCTATCTTTGATCCTTTAACGATGATGGTTAAATTTTGGTTCGTTGATAAAAGAACGTTTCAGAATAGTACTCCAAAGGGGTCGGGTCAGGTCGAATTTCAAAGAGATCCGAACCTGACCCGATAGTGCAAATGAACTGTTAAAATATTCGGGTCAGCATTTACATAACCCGAACCCGACTCGACCCGATTATAGTAAAACTCGTGTTTAATGATAATGTTAATGCTGAGAAACGAATTTCAATATGAATATTTCACCCGATGTTATTTATAAATTATTTAATGTATAGTACTTATTAATTTTTCAATGTAAGTTAATGCATCGAAAAATAATTCCAAATTAACTTCAAAATCTTGATTTTAACACATACATGCACGAATTGAATTGTATATGTTTAAAGCATCAATGTTTTGCTGCTTAAGCTCCACCATAAAAAAAAACTCGCTTTGCTGGCATGAATATTATGACGCCAAGTCTTATTCTTATTTCTAAATAATTTTATTTTTAACAAAAGTAAATAGTAAATAGTATTAACTACTTTCAAAAATACTTACGGACAGTAATTCATTTTATTGTTCGATGAGCATATTTATTTATGTCAAACTTTATTTTCTTGTGTAGTACAAATCAGAATTATACAATCACCCGGGTCATCACACGATGACCCGTACAAAAGTATGAACTCGACCCGACGGGTTGTTTTAATTCGGGTCTCGGGTCTAAAAAATTACGACCCTAACCCGACTCGACAACTTAACCCGGGTCAATAACCAGGGTCGACCCGACTGGTTCGGAGCACTATTTCAGAAACTTTTAGAAAGGAGATTTATAAGTAACGAAAATTTTGTCCAAATTTGGAATATAGAAACGAATTATACACTATTAAACAAGGTCATGATAAATTGTACAAAATATATGAAAAATCAAAGTGATATAAAGTATCAATTAAAGAAAAAGCAAAAAAAAATGAGTAAATGTATTATTATCAGTTATAATCACAACCGGTGAATCGAGTTCGAAGATTGATGCAGACATCGATTAAATTAAATATATATACGATGATATATTTAATTTCTTGAAATCTGCTCTGCAAGTAATTTATCAATAAATTACTTGTTATGTTGTTATGTTCTATTTTCAATATGACATTATTAATTCTATGTTACTTATCTGAATAAAAATTAGAATGTGAAAGTTAGTTTGGTATCCGTCGTGCTTAAAATCAAAGTAAAAAAATTCAAGAATATGTATTAAAGTTCCCATTTTGAGTCATTTTTTCATGAGAATATGGAAAGATTCATTGCCAAATAAAACATATGCTCTTTGATCTTATTTTTATCAAATAAAAGTCTAATTTTCTACACTTCTTTATTATATAAAATGTCAGTTAGTAAGTACTCTATTGTACACATTACAACGGTGTACATCATCTTATGGTCTGTGTGTATGTTATTAGTTATCGTCAAATTATTTATCTATCTTCGCTTTAAACATTCCAAAGATCATCGTGAAATATACATCTGGATAATGAAATAGAATTAGAATTATCTTCTGCCAATTCGAATTTACAATTTTATAAGGTTCAACATACAATTTACTTCCGCGCGGATTGCATTTAATGGATGTCAAACAGTGACATACGACGCGATGAATTGAAAGCTTTGAAATCTGAAGAATTTCATTCTCTAAGAATTTATTTGTGGGACTAATGAATTATCAAGATTAACATTATCAAATGGGGAGCGAAACTCAATATTTATTCCGGTATATTAACAATCAGAGTAGCAATATGCTACAGCTGTTAGTTTATGAGATCAAAAACACATTATTTAGCATGTAGATATTTTGTTTATATCACGTAATTTGTAATACATCAAATCGGTCTGAAAAAAGTTCGAAAGTGAATGGTAAGCATTTTAGTAATTTGTAATATTTCTTTGACAACTCAACTTGGTTAACTATACTAATAATTTCAAGTTTACGCATTCTTAAAAATATCTTATTCAGTAAGGAAAAAGTTTGCTGGCACATTTTTATTCTACATATGGTAACTTGTGAAAACAAAGAAAAATAAAGATAATAATATTTTAATACATTCCGATTAGGAAATGAAAAATTTGTTGACTTATTTAGTCAAAGAAACAATAATTTCATATCAAATAGAACAAAACAAGTGTTTGATAAGATAGCCACCATTTTTTTTAGATATTTCATCTTAACATTTGCTATCAGAAGGTTAATTATTTGTAGAATCTGAAGGCATTCATATTATTGCCCTAATAAAGTAAAAATAATTAGTTATTTAGATATATATTTATATAAAAAAATACTAAAAAATTTAAACAAATTTTACCAAATAGATTTGGTCTCTCTTCTTTTCTATTTCCTTAAATCGTTTCAATCCACGTTTAAACTTTCTCCAAAGATTTAAATGTAATAATAACCGACCACAAGAAGAGCCAAAGTCATCCTCAATTCCGATCTTTGGACAGCCTAAACTAGAGACATCGGTCTCTGGGATTTCTATACGTTCAAACATAAACATATCATTGTTTTCAACAGAATCAACTGCTTCAACATTCTTAGTTAAGAAAAATCCCACTGCGCAATCATACTCGATCCCTGCTTCCTCAATAACAACTCTATATTTTTCCAAATATTGAGGATCTCTGTTAAAATTTTTTGACAACAATTCTATGTTGATATTCATATTATCCAAAAGGAATTGTAATTTTTTAGTCATCATAAAATCTCTTGCTTCAAGTAAGTTATATTCTTTTTTGACATAATCGCACCCTCGCATGTATTCCGAAAGTAATGCATCCTGTTCAAGTTCAGGAATTAACATTTTACGTGATTCATAAGAAATTTTTGGTTGAAAGAAATTATCAAACATTTTGATATAAGTTATGGAAGGTTCGGAATATATGGTGTTCTTATTATATTCATTAAATCCTCCAGTGATGAGAGTCATTTTGTTTGGAATAGGTGTGGATTCATTAATGAAACCTTTCGTTTCCATAGAATTCGTTGAAATGATATCAACGAACTTTTTAATAGGTGAATTGTGAACGAGTTTTACACAAACAGAAAAGAAATTTGGTTTGCTTTCCATGCTCTGAAAAAAAATTTTTATTTTGAAAGTAACTTGTTTCTTTGCAAGTCAAGTCAAGTGAGAAAATTTTCCTGATTTGTTTTTTTTTAATATTTTGTACCACATGATAAAATTTGATATTTTTTGATATTTGATTGATTTTCTCCATATTTCCTTTTATATTCAAATTGATGTATTATCGTACAACCTATATTTTGCTTATTCATTAGATTTTTCACCAAACTTTTCAAAAGGAATAAATATCTTGAACCGTATTGATGTGCTTTTGTCTTTTCCTTTGCTTGCTTACCATCATCAAGAGTTTCGATTTATTATTCACAACATTTATCTTTTTTAAGAATTTACGATCGAAACAAAAATATTTAATGGTCTACTGGTATTAATCAGGTTTTGATGCTCGTGTCAAAGGTTTCATACAATTGTATTAAAAACTTAATTAAAATTTGCATATCGAATTTTAAAAACTTCTATATATGTTCAATTCAAAAATAACTCAGAATAATATTAATACATATTTGACGAAAAGATTTCAATTTCGTAAGTAAAAAGGTCAGGAGAATTTATTGATGTAATCAACAGATTACTTGTATTAAAATGAGGAATGAAACGAAAGTAGTTGATGTCATAAATGAAAAAAAAAAAATTGTGAAATATGTCAGAAATGTCACAAATAACATGAATGGAGAAAGCCAAGACCTGTTTATAACAAGAAATTGATGAATCCCACCAGAGGAAAGTACCTTCCGAAGAAAGTCAGAAATTTATATAATAAAGTATCATTAATAACAGAATAATATTTCACATAAAAAATTGACCAAAAGTTGATTTCTATAAATGCTTTTGTCCATTCAAAATATTTATCACATGTAATTTAAATACAAAATATACAAATCTGTGATGCTATGTAATCAAACACTATGGATGTCTTTCATATCGATACGATATAATTTCTGAAAGAGGATTTAGTGAAATTTATAAAGCTTTTTGTTAGGCCAAGTTTTATGATTGTTGCTCTCAAAAAGCTCATGATTACAAAATTTCTTCCAAAGAATTAAATGAGGTATGAAATTTATTTAAATTAATTATTAATATATCTTTATTTTACAAAAATTAATAAATTATTTTTTATTCTCAATTTAAAATGTGGATTATTTAGCTCATTTAATAAAAAAGGATTACATGTTCATAATGGATTACTATGAATCAGGTGATATTACATTATTAACATAAATCCTTAATGGCATCGAATAAGTAATCATTAACCGAATCAATAGATAATGATAGAAGTTGTTAAGCCAATTAAGGTTTTGTTCCCGAAGAAAAACGAAACGAAGATTCCGAAAAAGATCGCTCTACTGAATTCAATTTGGAAAATGTCAAGGATGTAACAAATAACTCTTTTTTATTATAAACTTTAATTAAGAAACTTTATCAAGGTTAGTAATGGATTCATGTTTATGACGTTAAACGTCATTATCACAAATCACAAATAAAACAAGCTAATTTTCAAATTTAATTCAATGTATTAAATATAGGTTACTATTTGTGAATAAGCTGAAGAAGCATTTGAAGCTATATCCTTAACGCATTAACTCCCCTAACTCAACTTCTATCGTATAGCGCTACCTATTCCCTTATTTTGAATTCATGCTAAATCTGATATAGCTGTAAATTTCCTTATTTAGGAAAATGACGAGAATCAAGGAAACTTTATCTAGGTTATTTGTTTTATAGTCTTGGTCTTGTTTAAATGGAAGAATAACAATAAGTTAGTATATTGCAAACTGTTAACGATAACAAGTGCTGGGAAGATGTGGACTTCTGTGATTAAGTAGTTATGAACACGAAATGCGGTGAAATGAAGGTGGTCTTGGAATCCAATTGCATGAATTAGCATCCTGATTACAAGAATTATTATCGCACTGTGATAAAGCCAGTTTGAAGTTGAACTTCAACATTTTTATTTTTACCGTATATAATATAATTTATTTGCTAAATTTTATTCCAGCCATTTCGCTTAAAATTTCCTTGAGAACAGGTGTATTCTATGTGCCTTTCGGATGAACCTCAACATCTTAAAACTAAATTTCAAAAACATTATCCAAATACATTTAAGTCATTATCATTCGTGTCCAAAGAATTTTATTAATGAATGCAGAATATGTATGAGCGATATAATTTGAAAACGGAAATGTTGACAAAATCAAAAGAATAATGATCTCAGTGCTTGACTCCAGTCCAAAAACCAAATTACATAAGTAATATTTTTGTTTATTTTAATTCTTTATTAATTATCTTTTTACAATAATTTATTTTTGCTTATATCCTTATTTTTATGAAGCTGTTGTTAAAGTCAAATGTATGATTCGAGTTGGAAATAACATAAGTAATTTTTTGTTTAATAGCTTATCTTTTATATATTTTCTAACAATATGATTTAATTTCATGAATTTTTTGACAACATCAAGTGAAAGCGTTAAAATGTAATCATTATGGTATAAATAAATGTAATATATGCTGAAACCTCGAGTTGAACCTAAAAGCAAAGGCGAAATGAAATTAGGAATCTCCCCTATTGAACAATAAAGCGTGCAAAATTTGAACATTTATGATATAGATTATATTAATTTATGGACATAAATGTGTAAAATTTTGTCAAAAAGGAGCGCAGGTATGTCATTTTGCGAGATGGATTGGAACAAGAAGAGATGAACTTTTTTCTTATGGAGATGGAACTATGGATATCTATTATGTAGGTTCAACAAAAGAGTGTATCATTCCAACATCATCATGCTTAAATGTCGAACGCTAATTAAATAATATTAGGGAGATATAGCATCTTGGGCGCACAAAAAAAAAATTCTAATATGATAATTTATTGAATCATGTTACCAAGCGAATTGCTTTCAATCGAAGATTATATGAAAGATACTCAGAAACAGCTACACGGTCTAGGTTATTTTCTGAATGATAAATTTGGGGAAATCGTTACGATTGAATAGGCCTAATTTCTTTCTTATATTTTCGAGATCAGAGACACGCTTATACTTAGAAATCTCATTACATTTTAATTTTCTGCATTACTGTAACGGAAGTTAATACTTATAATATCAATATCTGACCGGAGGACATCTTGCTTTCTAATACGTGACCATATACATGGCCCATAGTGATAACTGATCAAATATAGCTTCCGTACATACAGTATATGGCTACTATATTTTCATTTATGTTTGTAATTGATTTTTAGCTTTATTATCTTTTAAAAATAAATTCGTACAACAGTAATTGACGGATTTCCTTTTTCGCTGTAGTATTACACTTTCCAATATCGTAAAAATCAACGATGCATCTTTTACCAAATTATTTCATAACATTTCTTCAATCATACATCATTTTATTAAGGTTCATATTAATAATTTAATTCAACTAAGTAAGGAGACATATTTGCATATATAATTATTATGATTCCGTAATTTTCCAAAGATTCCCACTAGTATCAGCAGTATACATTGCTTTAGCAGTGGTACCACCAGCTAATTTCGAATTCAATTTATCTGTATGTACAATAGTTTTCTCACCAGTATTTGTATCAACTATTGTAAGATATACGTCATAAGCAAACAACTTATTATTCAATGTAAGTAATTGGAATGTATTTGCCCATCCGCTACTAAGAATTCTGTAGGTCCAATCTTTCAAATTAATTTTATAGATTTTTCCACTATTATGGACAGAATACGCGTAATCACCAATTACCGTGATAGATCGTGTAGCTCCCCACTTATCATTCTGAACCTTTTGATAAGTACCGTCAAGACGAATTTCCCAGATAGCATCAAGGACAACGTAAATGTGGTCATTGTAAGAGAAAATTGCTTTTGCTCTCTCCCATCCACCGCCTGCTTCAGCCCATTTGAAAACTTTAGTGTAAGACGAGGTATCAATCTTGTAAATGAATCCGTCAGGACGAATAGCGTAAATGAAGTTGCCATTAGTAGTTGCTGCTACAGTTTTTGGCCATTCTGATCCAATTTTTGTGTATTTGCCATCCGGATTAACTTCACACATGTGGTATGCGAATACGACAATGTTTTCGCCGTTTGGCGCAATAGCAGTTGCGCTTCCCCAATCGGAAGAGATAATTCTTTTAGGCCAGCTCATAATTAATTAATTTAGCTGAATAATATTGAATACAATTTTTATAAAAAAATTATTTTTATGTTTTGATAAAATAAAAATTGCCCAGAATTGGAATCAATCAAATTTTATAAGAGAATTCTACGTGAAAATGTAGCCAAGAAGTTGGATGGATAACTATTTTTTTGTACGAGTTGCACAGAAAAGAGGTATTAGAAGCGCGTTACTTTTTTCTATGTAGAGTGTTCAACCAACTTTCCCGCAAAAATTTTAAGGGAAGTAATTTGCATGTGTCTTATTAAACTTAATGTGATTTAGCCTATTTTGTTGGCTTAACAATCAAGGAAAATGTTACTGATCGACATTGGCAAATTTGAATTAGTAAATAAATGATCGGCAATTTATTCACATTTATATATAAATTTAACGAAAAATATTTTTTGCTTCTAATTAAACTCCTCTTTTTTATTAGTACAACATACATTGCATAATAAGTTAAAAACAAATGTTTTGTTTTGAAAATTCATAAAAATTCATTTAAATTATTTTTACCTTAAAATTCGAACTTTAACCTAAAATTAACCGGGAATGACTTTTTATATATAAATTGTATATCAATTTAGTAACAATTATAATGTAACACAAAATTTGCTGATCATTTCTTATTAAAACTTTAACATTTGATAACCGCAATGTATGCATGATAATGATCAAATCATATGAAAATTTTTCCTAATTTAACTTGATTGATAATTTTGCCCAAATTAATGTAATCGCAATGTATGTATGATAGCAGCTGACTTATGAAATTTTAAATTTACTTAATTAATAAATGACCTACCTGATAAAGTGTTCTTTTCATATGAAAATTTCTCGTATAATAGGTAATTATAAAATAAAACATAAAATTTACTTAAACCTGTTTTTTGTTGTAACTTTTTTGTATATAAAGAATATCAAAGTGTAGCTTCAAAACAACTATTCGATATATTTGATTAATTAAAAATAATAAGTCTGAACGAACTAAAAAACTTTCTTTAATTTTTACTTTAATTTTATTTTTTCTTTTTCTTTCCTTGTGTATTATTCTTTCATTCCTTTACCTTAAGTGCTGTAGGTTGTACGATATTCCTTAATAATATTACCTTTTCTTTTTCTTTGTATATTATTCTTTCATTTTTTACTTGAATACTGCGGGTTGTGCGACATTCCTTAATATACAAAAAAGCATGAATACAAGTACTTCTACATATTCGAATTTATTTGATATTAATATAAACGATATTCTTGATGATGAACTTAATTTAAATTTTGATGAAAGTAATCCAATATTAACAAATGAGGACACAAATATTGAAAATGAATTTCTTGCCTTTTTTGATGATGTTGGAGGATCCGAAATAGCACCATCTCCTATTACTCATCATGATATTGAATCGGATAGTACAATTGAAAGTGACTCTAAATTTGAAGAGCATTTAAAAGAAGATTATGAAGAAACAGATGTCACCAATTATGAAATAGGTATATATTTTTATTATAATTTGTATTTATATTTTTATATATATGGATTTTATATTAATATATATTTATTTATATTTTAAGTGGATAATACAGATAATGATAAAATAATCGCTACAACTGAAATTTTAGCTGAAAATAAAAAAAAAATTTTCATAATATTTGTTCTGTGGCATTTTTAAATCCAATAACATTAGAAATTGAAGACTATAATAAACCTAGTATGCGAAGACTTTGGAATTTAATTGGAAATTGGGAAATAAATTCAAATTGTGTAGTTGAGGTTAATAGAAATATTGAAA